TTGCCATCCCACTGCTACTAGCATCGGTGAAACACTACCAGTGCTAGCGCGATGGAGGGTGAATCCAGGACAATCCTCAGTGTCAGTGCAGCAACAGTGGCCGGCCTTGGTCAAAGTAAGCGCTGTCCTAATCGCAGTGCAAATACTTGTGGAGTATTAATTGTAATGCCATGTCTGGGCATGTGATGCATTACAGGTGAGCTAGGGGCTGCAGTGGTAGGTAGCACATCTAGCACAGTGAAGGCAAGAGACAGTTTGGGCCAAATTTATCCACACTGTCTTTGAGGGAATTACATCACAGATTAATCCTGCCCACCATGTTTATCACAGTTTTCATTCATTCTTTTGTTCATTGCAGACAGAGGCTGGCACATAAGCAGGTGGGAGCTCCATAAAACAAACCTTCCCATTCTATTCCTAACATTGCACCTGCCAAAGAACCACCTCTCTACCCTCAGCCGCTCACATTACTGAGTCTGGACACAGGGCATCTGGTAAGGGAGATTTAAAACATTACAGCAGTGCTCAGTTCTTTACTTTCTGAATGATGCAATCAGCTGAATACAATATATGAGACTGCTTTTGATGGTGGAGAGCCAGAAGGCGCTTACCTTTTCTTTCTTCTTTTTCCTCTTCCCTGTTTTCTCATAGTTTTCATTTCTACTGCCAACTGTGTCTGGCTGTGAGCTGATCATGTCTTGAACCTACAAGAGATATACCAACATCGCTCAGCAATAGCAGGCCATTTTGCCCTAGCGTCCACTCCAAATGCTCTAACCTCCAAATTAAATGGCTCGCACGTGGCAGTGTCAGGGTTCCAATAATACATCAAGTTGCTCCATATTTAATCTGGACCAACATGATGAATACACAACATCTCCACCCCCTGACTGAATCATTCAGATTGCCCAAAGAAAAGAGATTGGGACTAAAGAAAGGGATCTAGAGGACATAATGGACTACAAGCTAAATATGTGTCAACAGTGTGACACTGTTACAAAAAAAAAAGCCAACATGATTCTGGGATGCATTAACAGGAGTGTTGTGAGCAAGACATGGGAAGTCATTCTTCCGCTCTACTCTGCGCTGATTAGACCTCAGTTGGAATACTGTATCCAGTTCTGGGCACCACATTTCAAGAAAGATGTAGAGAAATTGGAGAAGGTCCTGAGAAGAGCAACAAAAAATATTAAAGTTCTAAAAAACATGAGCTATGAGGGAAGGCTGAAAGAATTGGGCTTGTTTCGTTTGGAAAACAGAAGACTAAGAGGTGACATGATAGCAGTTTTCAGGTATCTAAGAGGATGTTACAAGGAGGAGAGGGAAAATTGTTCTCCTTGGCCTCTGATGATAGAACAAGATGCAATGGGCTTAAACTGCAGCAAGGGAGGTTTAGGTTGGACATAAGGAAAAACTTCCTAACTGTCAGGGTGGTTAAACACTGGAATAAATTGCCTAGGGAGGTTGTGGAATCTCTATCACTGGAGATATTTAAGAGCAGGTTAGACAGACATCTATCAGGGATGATCTAGATGGTGCTTGGTCCTGCCATGACGGCAAGGGACTGGACTTGATAACCTCTAGAGGTCCCTTCCAGTTCTAGTGTTCTATGATTCTATGAAAATCTACAGAAGAATGAATGGGATAAAAGGTAAATTGCAACCTCCTGTGCTTCCTGACTTAAAACACAAGAATAAGAGTTCATCAATGAAATTGAAAGGTGGCAAAAACTTTCCGTAAATTAGTGTATATAACCCGCACTAGTGTATAATCCGCACCCGTGCATAACCCACGTTTTTTCCTGAATGTGTAAAAAAAGTCTTAGATAACCTGTGCACGTGTATAGCCCCTGGGTTATATATGCTACTTTAAGGTACCTGGTAATTGCACATACCAGTTGCAGCCTCCGGGATGGGGGAACGGAGAGCACAGCACAGGCAAGCTGGCCGACTTGAAGGAAGGGAGCCGCACTTGCACGCAGGTTTCGCGCAGCCACAGCCAGGCGCAACCCACCCTCCTCCAGGAGGGGGGAACGAAGAGCGCAGCGCAGGCAAGTAAAAATAAACTTGTATACCCCGCAGACATGTATACCCTGCGTGGGAGGGGGTGGGGGTTGTGGGGTTTGTAAAACATTGTTTAACCTGCGGGTTATATGCGCTAAAACACAGTAAGTGATAAAAGGAAATACTTTTTTACACAGAGCACAATTGGTCTGTGGATCTCACTGTCCCAAGATATAACTGAGGCTAAGAGGGCTGGTGTGTAAATTTCTGAGGTTACTGGATGGGGCTCACGCCAGTTCTTTGTTGGATGGGCAGAGAGGAATCCTCAGAGATTGAACCTGGCCCTGGCTGCTGGCAGAAGGGTTACAATAGTAAATAGATTTTTAACATAAACAAGAGTTTGCAAAGGATAGGACTACTTGTTTGAGGCATATGCCAACCACTAACTATTTGGGGAGAGGAGGAAATGAACTCATTGCTGCCTATTGCAGGGTTTCTCCCTCTGAAGCTGCTGCTGCTGCTTGTTGAAGACAAGATATTGGACTAGATGAATCACTGGACTGATCTAATATGGCAACTACTATTATGCCATGTTGCAAAGTCAATATGCAGTTGGAGGTCACACTCAGGCATTATCTACATTAGTGTCCACCATCAATCTAATCTATGTGACCTCAGCTACACAAGAAGCGTAGCTGAAGTCGACATACTTACTACAGCATCTTGTGTGCGGTAAGGTTGGCAGGGGTTGCTCTCCTGTTAACACAGGTTATGCCTCTCATCCTGGTGGAGTATCAGCATCAACGGGACAGCGCTTTTAGAGATCATTTATCACATCTGAGCAGATGCGATAAAGCGATGGCCAGTGGATCGATCACTGCAGCGTCGATCCCTGGCGTAGTGGAGACGAGCTCTAATGTGCCAGCAGTGGATTTAACCCAAAGGCACTGTCCATGTTACAGTTTTCAACTGACCAAAAAGGTTCAGACCCAAAATGTTTAGTAAGACAAGAGAATATGAATATAAATACTTCAGCTACAAAAAATAATTTCAATAATATTAAGAGTTTTGGGGCGAGGGATTTTTTTTACAACTAAAAACTTTCCTCGTATCCTTGCAGCCCAAACACAGCAGTGCCAAGATTAAGAACTGGGGTGAAGGTGTGTGTGGTTAAGGCATCTGAAATGCCCAGCACATTCTAGATGCAAAGTTCCAGAGAGTCCGGCAGTGGGAAACAATTGGTGTTAACTGGATTCCGAAGATAAAAACAGAGCAGGCTGGAAGTAGTTTGTAAACAGAGGCCCTTTCACTCTGCTAACCTGATTTATTTTCATTGTTCCTTTCTGCCCCTGTTTATTGCTGTATTATTGTAGTTAATATGAGACATTATTTACTTATTGGATCCTGGACACACAATATGCAAAAGAATAAAAAAGTAAACACAGCTAGAAATGAGGCAAAAGTACTCACCAAACCTTGTTTCAAGACTTCACACAGAATGCAAAAGGTAATTGCAATGGGGTGGACCACCCTCACATTGGAGAGAAAAGGGGCTGCAGGAACAACTCAGGACCCACAAACTCCCTTCTCAGCAGGCCTGCAGGGCATACTTTAATTGGAGGAGGGACAGCAAGCCATGACACATGCCAAGGAGGGACAAGATGCAAGAAGGGCATCAACTGGACCATACATAGCAGATGCCTTCCCTTTGGTGCCCAAGAATGCCCTAAGTCAGAATCTAGTGAAGTAGGAGAGTCTGGGTTCCTGTACCCCTAACCACTAGGCAAGTGGGCCACCAGAGACTAACTGCCAAGCAGGGGCTCCACCTTCCTCACAATAATAAACAACAACAAATGGGAAATGTCATTGAATCCAAAGTATTTGCAGTAGCACAAATAAGAACCTAAGCCCACTCCAAAAAAATCAACAATAACCACCCAACCCACACAGTACAGGGAAACCTGCACAGGAGTGCACCAAAGGAAGTCTCTCTCTCCCTTTGAGATTGCTCCAGAATGTCTCCTACCATAGAGGTAGGGTCAGATTGACTCTCCCATGGGCCCAGGGCTATTAGATTTTGGGGCTCCTGTATACAAGTATTTTTCCTATTTTAAAACAAAATTATCACAATTATGCCATCAAGGTTATTAACTCCTGCTAAACTTGCCTTTTAATGAACATAAAGCCATTCTGTGGTTACATTTCAGTCTTAAAACACGTAGAATATAGTTAATTCAGAATAGCCCACTTCTTACCTTAGAACAGCTATTATATTAGTGTCTTTCTGGGTGGGAGGTTGGGTGCAGGAGGGGGCTCCAGGCTGGTGCAGAGTGCTGGGGTGCAGGAGGGGAGAAGAGGGTGGGCTCTGAGGGGGAGTTTGGTGCAGGAGGGAATCCTGACCTGTGGCAGGGGGTTGGAGTGCACGAGGGGGTGCAAGGTGTAGACTCCAGCCAGGAGGTGCTATCACAGGCAGCTCCCAACAGGCTGCCTGCATGCTGTGGCCCCACACTGCTCGCAGAAGTGGCTAGCTGCTGGCAACATCTCTGTGTGCCCCTGGGGAGAGGGGGACAGCATGTCTCCCTGTGCTGCCCACTTCTGCCAGGCCTGCTCCAGCAGCTCCCATTGGCTGGCTCCCAGCCAAGAGGAGCTGTGGGTAGAAGCAGTACATGGAGCCAACTCCCACCCCGCCAGGCATCCCAGAGACATGCTAGCAGCTGGCTGCTTCTGGAGCAGCATGGGGCCACAGCATGCAGGCTGCCTGCCCGAGACCCATGGCACCACTGGTCTTTTAGCAGTGCTGAGATCACAATTGACTGGCAGAGGATCCAGAATCGATCAGTTTATTATGATCAATGGGTTGGTGACCACTGATATAATTATGGATTTATTGTTATGGGAGCACTCCCCTGGTACCCTGCACTGCCCCTAAAGCCCCTGCATGAATCCAATCCTGCATACAGGGCACAATTCTGCTCCACTTTTATTAAACCACCTATAAAAAGGGAAATAAGAACAAACCAGGAAATTACAGCCCAGTCAGTTTAAATTCTGTGCCAGGAAAGATAATGGAGCAAATAATTATAGAATCAGTTTGCAAACATCTAGAAGATAATAAGGTGATAGGAAATAGCATGGATTTGTCAAGAACAAATCAGGTCAAGCCAATCTGATAGCTTTCTTTGACAGGGTAACAAGCCGTGTGGATGGGGGCGGGGGAAGCACTAGACTTTAGTAAGGCTTTTGATACAGTCTCACATGACCTACTCATTAACAAACTAGGAAAAAACAACTTAAATGGAGCTACTAAAAGGTGGGTGCATAACTGGCTGGATAACCATCCCCAGAGAGTAGTAATCAGTGTTTCACAGTTATACTGGAAGGGCAAAACGAGTGGGGTTCCACAGGGGTCGGTTCTGGGTCCAGTTTGGTTCAATATTTTCATCAGTCATTTAGATAATGGGATAGCGAGTACACTTATAAAGTTTGTGGATGATACCAAATGAAAGGGGCTTCAAGTACTTTAGAAGATAGGGTCATAATTCAAAATTGTCTGGAAAACTGGAGAAATGGTCTGAGATAAATAGGATAAAATTCAATAAGGACAAATGCAAAGTACTCCATGCAGGAAGGAACATACAGAATGGGAACTGGCTGTCCAGGAAGAAGTACTGTGGAAAGGTATGTAGGGGTCATAATGGACCGCAAGCTAAATATGAGTCAGTGTGACACTGTTAAAAGATCCTGGAATGATTTTTTTATCAGGAATATGTAAGCTAGACACAAGAAGTCATTCTTCTGCTCTACTCCATGCTGATTGGGCCTCAGTTGGAATATTGCATCCAGTTCTGGGAGCCACATTTCAGAAAAGATGAAGACAATTGAAAAAAAAAAGTCCAAAGAAGAGCAACAAAAATGATTAAAGGTCTAGAAAAGAACTAGGTTTGTTTAGTTTAGAAAAGAAGAGACTGAGGGGGGACATAATTTTCAAGTACCTAAAAAATTGTTATAAGGAGGGAGAAAAATTGTTCTCTTTGCCTCTGATGATAGGACAAGAAGCAAAGGGCTTAACTTGCAATAAGGGAGGTTTAGGTTGGATATTAGGAAAAACTTCAAACTGTCAGAGTAGTTAAGCACTGGAATAAATTGCCTAGGAAGATTGTGGAATCATCATCATTGGAGATTTTTAAGGGTAGATTAGATGCACACCTGTCAGGGATGATCTAGATCAGGGGTGGGCAATAATTTTCACATGGATAATTCATTCACTTAATGAATTTTGGTATGTGGTCACAAGCCTGTTCCACCCCTGAAAGGGATGGGTTCTGGAGAGGAAGGGGCAGGATTGGGGACTAGCCTCCTGGGGCCAGAGGCTTTGAATTACAAACACAGCAACGGGCTTGTGGTGCTGCCACTACTGCATTGCCTGGCAGCTGCCCATGGTTGCTGCGGCTATTTAAAGAGCTCGTGGCTCTGGCCCCGGCCCCTCCTGGGCTGGAAACCACAACCAGAAGCCATTTAAACAGGATCCTGCTGGCTGAGGCACCCCTGGAAATTTGGTTGCACGGGCAGAAGAATATAAATAGAGAGTGGATAGATGCTGTCTGGACCAAAGTGTTAGGCGGGCCGGATCCAGCCCCCAGGCCGCATCTTGCTCAGCCCTGGTCTAGATATGGCAGGACCCTGAACTTGATGACCTCTCAACATCCCTTCCAGTCCAATGATTCTGTTAAGCAACTGAGCTCTTGAACAATTGCTCAAGAAGCATTTCACTCACTGTGGTTTTCATTTTAGCAGTAAAGGGGAAACAAATTATATGGGGCTCAGAACACACTGAGCCCAGTTTCCAGGGCTAGCTGACCCACTCTCATTGTAAGACCAGAAATGTGGCTGCACAGTCCCTTTCCTGGATCCCCTTGGCTGCCAGGGTTTGCATCAACCCTGGAAGAATTTAGAGCAGTATCAGAGCTGCTTTACACTTTTGGCCCACGGTAATGGCCCTCGGGGGGCTGTTGCATCAGTTGGGGATGGCTGGAGTATCTCAGCCAAGCTCCTATGCAGGGATTTCTCCATGCTGGATGAATCGTCAGCTGTCTGATCTTGGCACTGCCTGAACAGTCCAAAAGGGCCATATGGGAAGCCCGGACCAGTCCATATTCCACAAAGGTCTGGTCTCCTCTGCATACAGGGAGGTTTCCCCTGCTAGAAATGATCTCAGATCTCCCACCATTCCTCAGAGCAAATCTGACAACACAGCACCTATATCAACCAGGCCTCCCTAAATGAATAATGTTTGATAAAATGATGGTTTAACCAGAGAGAAGCGAGACTGGAAATGCATCATCCCAGACTAGGAGCGGGAGGAACTCAGCCTTTCCTCTTCTGGGTGGGAGGAGTGGAAGCAGCGGTTAGATTTACAGCCTTTGTAAAGCACTGCAGCTCTGTGGCAGTTTCTATGCCATGCCCAATTTCAAAGGGAACCCCCAGCAGGGCAGGGTCAGGATTACTTGCGAGGAGACTTACCTTAGCAGTGGGATTCTTCTCAAGCGACAGGCTCTTTGTGTCATTCTCAAGGACAGAATAGACCTCAGCTTGATGGGATTCTAGGCACTAGAGAGGGGAGAGAAGAGGTTTGTGTCACGTCATATAGTGCATAGTGCAGTGCATATAGGTTAAAACAGGGCTACTCGACTTTGGAAGCCCCAGGGGCCACGATGATACTCACAGCACATGCCGAGGGCCACAACTTAAGTGTGGTTGCATGTACATGCACATATATATGCAAATAGCTTCTTTCATACTGACGGGCATGAATATAAAGATTAAGGCAAGACTACATAACATGCAGGCTCCATTCAAGTCATTTCTGCTGATATTAATAAAATGCAATATTTACCCAATTTCTACCCATATGACAGCACTTTTCATGAGTAATGACAATCCAGGAATTTAACTACTAAAATGCATATCAACAGGAGGCCATTATATTGACTTGTCATTGTGGAGCGTGTTCCCAGTGGAGGCCATGTTCAAAAAATCCCACCCGCGGGCCACGTGTTGAGCCCCACGTAAATACAAACCGCACCGCAGGCCGCAAACAAACGGGCCGTGGGCCGAATGCAGCCTGTGGGCCATGTATTAAATAGCCCTGGGTTAAAACATGCACAGTTGTCTGTTCTGGTCAGGGAGTCCCCAACATCCTAAATTTAAGTTCTGACGAGCTTATACCCTGTGTCTGCAAGAGATCCTAAAGTCTGCAAAAAGCCTGTTCTAAATCTGGTTGAGATGAAATTGCTTCCTCCCCATCAGGGCAGCCCCATCCTTGTCAGGATTTTGCATCATGGAAAAAAAAATTTTCTCCCTAGCATATAAATGTAAGAAAGCAGGACCCCTCCCTTCTGCCTCTCACTACCCCAAATTCTTCACATAATGCAGAACAAGACCCTCCAGTATGGGGGACTTTCACTGCCTAGTGGGTCAGAGGGGAACCTGCAATCAAGATAAGGTCTGGATGGTACAATATGGTATTGGAGTCCAACTTATTCCCAGGTTCCAGTTGTGATCAGGCTGGGCTTTTGGGGGTGAGAAGAGAGGCTGAGCTGATGTTCTGATGCCTAACAGGAGAGCAAAAGGCAGGAATTTCATAGCCACTTAAAATGGGGACAATTTGCATTTGTTTTTCACACCAGGAACTATTCTTCCTCCTTAGAATGCAGAAATAATATCAGAACAGATCCCCCCTCCCCCACATCCACACACTGCCTCACTCACACACTCCAAATTACATGCATACTTACATACATACACCCACTCACTCCCCATGAATCAGGGCTTTAATTCAGCCAGAAGGCTCCAGAGTGGAGCTCTGGCAAATATTTTTAAACCTCTGGGAGGCTTCAAGCTGGATCCATAGCTGTAGCCCAGAGCCCCAAGTCCCAGCATGTGAACCCCACACAGCAGAAGCCACAAGACCCAGGGTCCCCCTCATGGCTGATGCCCCACAACTCTGGTGCACCTCCCCATGGGGCTAAAGCCCTAAGACCCTCCCACCCCATAGATGAAGCTGGAGCCCTAAATGGGGAGGTTGGGCGGGGGAGGGCCCCTGGGAAATACACTGTGACAATTTAAGCCCTGCCCGGAATGTTCACACATATGTACATGGAGAAAGACACAGACACACACACGCATCCTACGTGTGTGCACCGCTCCTTGTCCCTCAAATAATCGTGTCACTAAAAATGCATGTCAAATTGAATGATGCTCCAGATCTGCCTGCAGGTTCTAATATAACAATCAGAAGGACTTTTCCATGTGTATTTCAAGGATGACAGCAGGTTGCCACGGTGGCTGTTTCTCTGGCAACAAGAGGATGGGAGGAGCTTTGGCAGGCAGGAGGGGCTGGTGCTCTTAGGGAGGGATTGCGCAGTGAGTGAGGCTGTCGTGTCCCATTAATACAGCAAAGAGGAAAAAAGCAAATGGCTGGGGTCGATCCTGAGAGAAGCTGAGCATATATCACCCTATTCGTTTCCCTGCAAATTACAAATGTTCAGACCCCCTCAGAATCAGGCTAGAAGTGATTATGATTTAAAGGAGAACAGGGTGTGTTGGATGACCTCCTGAGGTCTCTTCTAGCTCTATGATTCTATGAAGGGGGATGAACAGTTTGCCCTGGGACAGAAGGGGAAGTCGAAAAGAGCCAAGCATCATGTGGTTCCTACCCCCGCTCACACTTTAAAAGAGACAAACATTAACAGTTATTTCATCTGGCCACTTAGGCTACGTCTACACTGGCATGATTTTCCAGAAATGCTTTTAACTGAAAGTTTTCCGTTAAAAGCTTTTTCGGAAAAGCGCGTCTAGATTGGCAGGACGCTTTTCCGGAAAAGCACTTTTTGTGGAAAAGCGTCCGTGGCCAGTCTAGACACTCTGTTCCGAAAATGCTTTTAACGGAAAACTTTTCCATTAACAGCATTTCCGGAAAATCATGCCCATGTAGACGTAAGCCCATCTGTGGAGATATTTAAGAGCAGGTTAGATAAATGTCTATCAGGGATGGTCTAGACAGTATCTGGTCCTGCCATGAGGGCAGGGGACTGGACTCGCCCAGTGTAGCCAGCCGGCAAGTTTTTCCAGAAAAGTGGCTGATTTTCCGGAAAAACTTGCCAGTCTAAACGCAGCCTAAGTGTCTTCAGCAGCCCCTTGTTCAGCACATACACACATGTGTGCGCCCAGAACACCCCTCTCCTCTTCCTTGCTCTCGGGTCCTTTTCTGCAGCTGGTCACAGAGTCTCTTGCCCTGGGCATTTTTTTCCCAGCAACGGAGCCATCAGGCTGTGTGCACTACTGTGCCGTAACCAGCTCCAGCCCCACACAAGCTTCTCAGAGCAAAGATGGGACTAAAGGAGGTGCTTTTGGCCCTCCTACAACATTCCTTTTCACCCTGTCCTGGGAGATCAGCTAGATTCGCACCCACAGACACCAGGGAATAGGAGAGCAATCTGTACCCCGGGGAGCTTTGCTGGAGGAGGAATTCATTCCAGGTTAGTGCCAGCGAATGGCACCTTTACGTTTTGGCCAAGGTGTCATAGGAACCTCAGCAGCTAACGTTTCCCAAGAGACATTAAATGAGTGCCTCTCCCACCCAGGGAGAGTAGCCTTGCTCCATTTAAAGCCAATCTCAACTATCTCTCAGAGACTGCCCTGGACAGTTTCTAGCTGCCCACGGAGCAGGAGCAGTGGGAGCCCTGCACCATCATGCCCAACAGCCCTTCCTTTCACAAAGCTGACCCAATGTTTAAAACTGTTCAGTTCCGGCCTGTTAGACTGAGCTTTGTGTCGGCACCTTCAAGAAGGTAACATGATGGAATGTGTAATTCAGATGGAGAGGAGGATGCCTGACAATGCTGACTGAGCAAGAAATTGATTGGAATATTTTGTTAATCTCCTTGCAGAAATCATCCACTTTTATGGAAAAATTCTCTATCTTGACTAAAAAGTTGAAATAAAAAGAGATTTCTAAAAGTAAATGATTTATCAGTTTAATTCCCCTCCCACAAATTATTACTCTGATATTTCCTGCTGGTTTTTTAACCTCACTTCCAAAAATTAAGAACCAACCAAACCAAACTCTATTCACCTCATAAGAACCATTGAAATTTGAGCTAGAAAAGCCCTAGCTAGTCCATGCTCTTGACCACAGCAGCATCCCACGTTAGCTTTCCCTCTGGTAAATTCTCCAGAGCTTTGTCCAATCACAAATGATTCATGCAACTGAGCTTCCATCTCTCCCCTTGTGAGACTTATTCACTCCGTTACCGATCTCATGCTTAGAAAAGGTCTCCTGATATTCAGCCAATACCCGTTTCTGCTCACTTTCACCCTTTTGCTCCCCCTACATTTGCTCTGCTGACCATCTGAAGCAATTCCTTACCCAGAGAGGGGAAATCAATGCATTGCCACAGTCAGGCTAGGGGAATGGAAACAACCACCCTGGGCCAGTTTCAGGAGAGTTGAAAGGATGCCAATTTTATTCTGAGTAGAAAGTTATTGAGAGGAGATGGCATAAAAAGATACCTCGCCTCCTCACCAGCCCTCTCTTTGGAATCAAATCCTCTCTTATACTGAGGTGAATGGACTGCATTGTCTCTCTCCTCCACCGCCTTCCTCCCCCCCAGATCATGCTGTTTCTACACATGGGGTGTCATGCTGGTGTACACATGGGGTCTAGCAGTAGGCCACACAAGATGATGGTAATTTGGGTACTCACAGTGTAGACAGAACCAGATGGTTCGGAGCTTTCTGCAGGGACTTGGGCTCCAGTATTTAGGACTGGGTGCATCTGGAAGCGGCTCCTCACAGGACACCTCACCTAATTAGGACAAGAGCCATGAGACACTTAACGCCAGGTCTGCTGTAAACACATGGCCTTCCAAAACATGAAATAAATGTTTGCATAATTCTTGTACTTAACAGAGGGCCTGTGATCACTAGTGAATCACACTTTCATCACTATGAGAACAGTAGACTCAACCCTCTTCTTGCACCAGTATAAACCAATGAAATCAGCCGAGTTACATTGGCATAAATCTGTGTGACAGGAGCACCAGACTCCCTGTTTATGCAAAAATGATGACTTCTAGCACTGAAATACAGACATCTCTGGGGTGGAGTTTGTACCTGTTTAACAGCACATAGCAATGCTGTAGGACAGGAAACAAAGAATGCCCATCCCTCTTGTAACTGTAGGGAGAAGGTTAGGGGGCAGAATGCAAGTACAGTACTTAAAATGGAACTTGGTCAGGAAACTAGGGCTAACATTATTACAGTAGCAAGAGACCTTTTATGAGTCAACAATACACTGAGGCAGTGGTCCAGTACTGATTTAAAGACAGATGTCCTCTTCTGGAATTTCCACCACCGTTTCCTACAGCAAATGGGTTTTTCATAGAGGTCTTGCATTCAAATATAGACCACACCTAACCCAGCTTAGTTTGTGAGATCTAACAAAGTCATACCCTCAGATACTGTGTACACAAAGGGCAGAAACAGAAGGTACAGCATAATACACCACAATATTGATCCACTTGATTCATGACTTTGTGGAGGGGGTTTGCTTTTGTGAAGGAGAGTGTCACACTACCAACATGGGACAGGGAAACCACCATTACCACAAATACACTCTGGGTACGTCTACACTACAGCGCTAATTCGAACTAACTTAGTCTAGAACTAAAAACTAGTTCGAATTAGCGTTTTGCTAATTCGAACTAGCAAGTCCACATTGAGTGGACTCTGAACAGGGCTTAAGGATGGCCGGAAGCAGTGCCGGCAGGGCATAAGTGGAGGACTTAGAGCGTGGAGATGCTGTCTCAGGCTAGCCAAGGGCTGCACTTAAAGGGTCCCGACCCCCACCCCAGACAGACAGTTCTAAGGGGTGCCCCGCTTGCAAAGAAGTTCTGGCTTGGAGTGCCCTGAGTACCCACACTGGGCACATCACACCACTCGGCCATCAGCCCGGCTGCACTTGCCGCAGGCTGCCATCTGGGGAGAGGGGGCAATCGGGGGGCTGCAGGAGAGCTTCCACCCCCAGAAGCCCGCAGAGCCAGCCCAGTCCTCCCCATCGGGGGCTCGTACCCCATTCCTCCCTCACCTCCTTCCACTTACCCTTCCCTAGCCCCCCTTCTTATTGATGTACAAAATAAAGATAACGTTTCTTCCAACATTGACTCTGTCTTTATTGAAAAAAAACTGGGGGAGACTGGGAAAAGGAGGTGGGAGAGGGGAAGAGAAAGGCTGGGAGAAGGGAGGGCAACTAACATGATCAGGGGTTGGGAACAGGTCCCAGATGAAGAGAGGCTACAGAGACTGGGACTGTTCAGCTTAGAAAAGAGGAGACGGAGGGGGGACAGGATAGAGGTCTCTAAAAGCAGGGGTTGGGTGGAGAGGGTGCATTCAGAAAAGTTCTTCATGAGTTCCCATAAAGAAGGACTAGAGGACACCAAAGGAAAGGAATGGGTAGCAGGCTTGAAACTAGTAAGAGAAAGTTGTTCTTGACAAAGCAAATAGTTAACCTGTGGAACTCCTTGCTGCAGGAGGCTGTGAAGGCTACAACTAGAACAGAGTTTAAAGGGAAGTGAGATCAAGTCATGGAGGTTGGGTCCATGGAGTCCTATTAGCCAGAGGGTAGGAGTGGTGTCCCTGCCCAAAGTTTGTGGAAGGCTGGAGAGGGATGGCACGAGACAAATGGCTTGGTCATTGTCTTCGGTCCATCCCCTCCAGGGTCCCTAGGGTTGGCCGCTGTTGGCAGACAGGCTACTGGGCTAGATGGACCTTTGGTCTGACCCAGGACGGCCATTGTAAGCTCAGGGCTCAGGGTCGGGGGTCTCAGTGGACCCCCTTGATTTTCATGCACACCTGGTCCTGGGTGGCCAGGCTGGCAGCCCTCCTGCCCTAGACGGCCACTTTCCTGTGCCTAGTGCAGAGATCGTGGACGAGGTCCACGATGTCCGCACTAGCCCAGGAAGGTGCCCGCCTCTTGCGGTCCAGGGCAAGCTCCCGGGAGCCGCCAGCCTGGTCCCGGCAAGAGGGGGTGGGCTGGGAGGCATCGGGTGGGTGGCTCTGTGCCGTGCCAGGTGCAGGGTCTGCTAGCTGGGTGCTGGCAGGCTTGCACCTGGCACGGGCACCGTAGCCAGCCCGTGCCCCTTTAAGGGGTCCGGGGCCGGGAGGGGGGCATAGAGTTTCCCTGGTGTTGGCCAGAGTGGCCACCAGGGAAACCTGGGGAGGGCTAGCCTCCCACTAGTTCGAATTAAGGGACTACACACCCCTTAATTAGAACTAGTAAGTTCGAACTAGGCTTAATCCTCGTAAAATGAGGTTTTCCTAGTTCGAACTAAGCGCTCTGCTAGTCCGATTCAAATTTGAACTAGCGGAGCGCTGGTTTAGCGGCTATGAATGTTAGTTCGAACTAACGTCCGTTAGTTCGAACTAACATTGTAGTGTAGACATACCCTCATGGATGAGACAAATTGTTAAGAAAAGACCAAAGTATTTGAAAAGCATTTCTGTCCTATATTTGGAAGAAAGCAGGATGACTTTTGTGTCATATCACAAGAAGATGATGAACCATTTTCCAACCCATTTGTAACTAGGGATAAACATTTAAATTTTCAAGCCTGGATAACTTGCACCAAGAAATTCTATGGCCAGCATTATACAGAAGGTCAACCTAGATGGTTCCTTCTGGTTTAAGAAAAAAAAAAGAAATCTGCATTTGAAGCACAAGATTAAGAAAGTCGAGTATACTTGCCTACAATGGAAAATTGAAAAGCTTGGGAGGGAGCACTGGGAGCATAGTTGAGAGAGTCTTTGGGCTCTCAGTTGCTGGGCTTGGTGCCATAGCCCACTCCGGCTGCTGTGAGAAGTGATTGCAGGGAAAGTCTTGCTCAGCCCAGCTGGGCTGGCACATGCTCAGTTGCTCTTTGGGGAATAGTGCTTGCACAGTCTGATTGACACCAGGAGCTTTTCAAATGAACAAATCAACGCATTCCCCCTTCACTTTGTTCTCTGACGTGGCTGAACCATTTTTGCTGAAACTTAAAAACCAAAACAACCAAAACCACCAACTAGCTTGGGGTAGACTCTTAGCATTTCAGTCCAAATAGCTGAAGTTTGGTAACAGTATTCGCTACTGAAAATGGTGTCTTAAAATGGGAAGTGTCAAGAAACCTTAGCTACAAGCATTGCTACCAAATCCCCCTGTAATACTTATCTTATGACTTGCCTTTCTTTTCCACAGCAGAAGAGCTGTTTCAGTGATGCTCAGAATGGCGAGGATAGTGGTAAGAGCGATGAGAAATTTCCACAAGTTGTAGGTCGGCTCTGTGTACCCTTTGTCTGTGAGGAGGAAGGCAAAGGATTCATGGGTCTGGTTCATTTTTACCCCTAAGTTTTCCATACAGTAGCTGTCAACGGGCTAGAATTCCCAAGCAGCGCTGAAGAACGTATCTTTTAATATATATTTCCTTTTAAATCACATTCTGGGTGAACATGAAAGGTCCTAAAACTAAGACTGGTGGTGCTGGACAGACTCAAGTACAGGTAGACCCCTGCAAGCTTTCCCAGCCTTTCCAGCTTTGCTGCTGTATCTCATGCCTGACATCTCACCTTCTGCTGCTCCACTCCTCAACATGCCCCAACCAACAGTTCAACACAAAAGCTTTGTGGGAGACGTAGACTGAGGGAGACAAGGGTGACACGGTGGAGTGATGGAAATAGGAACATATGGCAGGTAGACATGCCAGGAGGTGGAAAAGTCATGAAGAGCCGTGAAAGTGAGGGCTAAAAAAAAGGCAAAGAAGAGGATATTTGCAGTTACATTCTGTACAGATTAGAGTAAGGTGGCACTTTTAGCTGATATAGGTACATTGGCAACATTTTGTAGTGTAAACCAGGCCTTAGCCTCTCTGTGCCTCCATTTCCCCATCTGTAAGAAAGGGATAATGCTGTTTACATCCTTTGTAAAACACTGACATTTGTGGATGAAAAGTTCTACACAAGGGCTAAGTATTACTTGTTCCTAGCGTGTGCTAATGTAAAGAAAATTTCATAGGGAAACTCCAGCCAGATTTTAGCCTTTCAGACTTCCTCTTCTGATCTCTCACTGGCTAGTTGGGGCATGGTGGGAGCTTACCTCTAACAAGGATGAAAACCCCATTTCCTGTTTTCGTTGTGCTTTTCCACATGACCTCACAGTAGTAGGTGCCAGTAGCAGCGGAGTTTTTTAGTGGCCCAATTTTCTGTTCATAAGTCATCTCTACTGTCTGATTCTCCTTTCCAGGTGGGATTTGCTCAGATACTTTACGTGATGTAGGTATGAAGCTCTTGCCTTTTGAGTCCATTCGGTAATACCGGATTGAGAAGCTGGTGTATTCCTTCATATAGGGGTAGCTCACCAAGCACTTCATAGATACTTCTTCATTGGGAAAAGCGACCTGGACCAGAGAGTCTTGTTGTTTGACCTTCAGTCCTGCAACCTGCCATCCTATCCAATAGGAGACAATCATTAGCATCCCCCAACACACTCTCTCTCAGAGGCGTACACACAGCGGAATGCATTATCACAGGGGTTGCTCCCAGCTCTGCAGCATCCAGGATTGTCAGAGGCAGGATGATACAGGACAATATGGACGTCTGGCCTGTTTTGGCAAGGCAACTCCTGTATGACCTACAGAGTCCTTTAGCTGAACAGTGTGTGATTTTAGATGCACTTGCTACTGCAGGCTTCTCTTTTTTCTTGTGAGTTCTTCTTTAGAACTCTAGCATGCCAAAAGGGGGAAGGAAGGAAGTGGACTGATTACTCAGTATGTGAGACTATGTTCTGGCTGACAAAAGTGGAAAGCAATATTCTAAAATTAAATCAAGTTGGATGTTTTGGATAATGCAGCCACTAAAATCCTAGGCCTCTGTGTCAGAGTGCCAATGTGCATATCAGTGTCAATGTGCATTTGGGAATGTGAGGTGAGAGTGAGGAAGGAAACTGCACATGCTGCACGCAGGCCAATATTAGACCATGAAAAATGTTAAGAGGATGCAGCTTCATCACTCAAAACTTTTGCCACTTTAAACAGCAAAGCAAAGGATGAATCAGCACATCAGGTACAGGAACTACCGGTAGAACTGTGCAGATCTGACACAGCCATGTGTGATAATCTCTCTTAAAGAGAGAGGAGAGACAGTTCCCATGATTGTTGCCAGGCTATTGGAAGGCTATCTGCTGCTGCAATTCACCAAGTGGTGATATATAGGAAGTTACAACAGAGGCTGCAGAAGCAAAGAGGAGAGATCACTTCTGGGTTCGGGTTTTTTTTTTCTTTATGGTAAACAAAAGAGGGAACAACAGGGAAATGCCCACAGAAAGCCCATTTCACAGGGTAAAGGCCCCTGTCCTTTTTGCATTGTGAATCAGGTTTTAACCCCAGACAACCTTTGATCTGTTTATGTGAATACCTGCTGTTCCCAGTGCAAAGCATTTGACATAATAATGAATAGAGAACAGGAGTGGAGGAGTGTTGAAAGCATTTTCAAAGTTATCAAAAAACCATCAGTGCAGTTCCAGCCAACTGCTTTTTCTTTCTATTTACCAGTGGAGCTAGTTTCCTTCCACTGTTCTCACAATAAGTAATAAGGGAAGAGAGATCTCTGTCACCACCATACTTGGACTCTGTGGACAGATCAACTGAAAATTAGCCCCTCAAGATTCAGGGTATCTGCTGCCCTTTCCTCTAGAGTCTACAGACAGATTGCACCATGTTCCAAACTACACATGAACTTTAGTGGCCTAGGAACAGATGAGGAATACTGAATACCGTGTCTGAGTGATCTTCTCTCATTATCCCCTTCAGACAGCGAGTCTGAACTTTATGGGTAAGTCTGTTTACTTTACACAATAGGAATTCTGATTCTTTCAGTGATACAAGAACTGGAGGACAGAGATACATAGAGACAGCTAACTGCTAAGTGGAGTTCTGGGGTGGGGTGACGAAGGAAGAACAAGGTCAGTCTATATATATCTTCAGGGTAACCATCCCAATGAAGGAAAGGCTTCAGCAGATGACATAACAAGGAGTAGTGGGCAGAAGTTAAGGAAAAGTTTACATTAGAGCACTAGGAAAAGTTTGTTCCTAAAAGCAACTGAGCTGCAGGCTACGCCAAGGGAAATGCTCAAAATATCATCATGGCAAAGTCAGGAGCAGGTGAGAGACTAGGGTATGTCTACACTACATGGCTTTGTCGACAGAGCCATGTAGATTACCTTTGTAGACATAGGAAAATGAAGCGGCGATTTAAATAATCGCAGCTTCATTTAAATTAAAATGGCTGCCGCGCTGTGCCGATCAGCTGTTTGTTGGCGCCCCCGGCCCGCACACTGCCAACCCCGACGTTGACTGGGGAAATGCCAGGACAGCCACCCGACCAACGCCAACAGGTGGGACCGCGACGGGCTGGGGGAAGGGGTTAGGAAGTGACCCAGGGCAGGGAGCTGGAAAAGCCCCTGAGGGCTCAGCGCGTTGTGGGGAGGAGCCCCCGCCGAGCCAGTGGTGGGAGCCACCTGCCACTAATAGGGCCCTGGGTCGGGGCCCGGTGGAGAGGGAGGGCCTGGGCCCCCCTACCCCTCCTGCCCTGAACCCCGGCGAGTGGGGAGCTCTGCTAAAGGACTAGGCCGCAGAGCCAGCATACTTTGGGACTAGGCCAGGAGGCCGTATTTCCCCTACCGCAGGGGCAGGATACTTTGAAACTAGGCCAGGAGGCCGTACTGCCCCTAATAAAGGGGCATCCTATTTTGGGGACGAGGTTCCAGGGCCTGTGTACTGCGGACTAGGTCAGGAGGCTGCATTCCCCCTACCATAGGGGCAGGACATTTGGGGTACGTCTAGACTACATGTCTCTGTCGCCAGAGGCATGTAGAGTAGGCTACCAGGCATAGGAAAATGCCTCCTGGGATGAGGTTTACCTGGGAGGTCGACAAAGGCCTTTGATGTCGATGGGGGAGAGTCCAGACTACTGCGCTGTGCCACCAAACACAGCGCGGCAGCCATTTTAATGTAAATGAAGCGGCAATTATTTAAATCGCCGTTTCATTTTCCTATGTCTACAAAGGTAATCTACATGGCTTAGTCGACGGATCCATGTAGTGTAGACATACCCTATGTTAGAATGAGGAATGTACTGAAAGATCATCCAAAATGCAATGGTGATGCGGGAGGAGCAATGATTTGAATAGTCTCTTCTGGCCCTTCTGTCAAGTCTAGAACATGATTGCTCATCTTTTTCAATTTATCCTGTCCAGTATGACAATGCCAAGGCTTACATGAATGCAGCTTTCAAACAAGCCACTACAAACTGCCACTGTCACAGTGCAGGGCTGACACCTCCCTTCCTATGAATACCTGGAGCCATTACTTTACGAAGAACTAGCCACAGAGGACTGGAATCATTTTATTTAGGCCACAACACTACTTCCCTGTTCCCCCTCCCTGGCTGGTTTTCTTTTTGTATTCTTACAAGACAGACGGTTTAAAAGACAGAAAGAGCAGTAATGTGGAAGTTCCTACCAGGGGCTCCCTGGAAATTAACAAAAAGACACCAGCTGAAAAATTATGGTAATGTGACCAAAGGAGAGCATAAACCAAAAGAACAAAAAACACTTTTTACCTCTGAACTGAAGGAACCCGAGAAGAAGGAAGATGACATTTAGACTGGAGGCCATAGTAGGGTCAAAGACTGTAAGAAACAACCAGATCGAACACGCCAAGAGACAAGAGATGTTGTTTTTGGTCAGGTATCTCCACAACTGAGGTCGTTTCTTCCTTCCTCCTTGCAAGGGAAGAGGTGGGAGAGGCAGGAGGATGGGCACACAATGCAACAGGCAGGCTGTTCCTGGTAGACATGGCTCCCTTCTGCTTTTCAGCTGAACTCCTCCCTGCCTCTGTGGTGGTTAGAAACTGCTGCGCTGGTATTACATCAGTCAATTGATGAACACAGCTTCAATGGCTTGTAATCACAAGACTTTCTGTCTGCTGACATCTGTAAAACATGACACACCTTTGTGGCATATCCAACTGCCCCCTCATGGCAACTGCACAGCCTTGATTAGGTTATGCTGAAAATGTTGCTCCCCACTGCTGCAATTGACCAGTAAGGTTGTCAGATGATAATGCTTTGCCCCTGGAGCAGGGGAGGAGCAGTTATAACTGTGCAGTCTTTTAATGGCATGAAGGTAAGATGCATATTGCAAGGAGAGGTGGTATAGTGAGTGCAATGTGAAGGAGGATACTGGCTGTATTCTGAAAGCAGCAGTGTCACAGGTTTCAGTGAAATGCTTTTATTTAACCATTCCTCCATCAGCAACACAACAGGTAAAACTTGATTGGACACCTGCAACACCCACAAGAGGGCACCAACCCCTGCTATCTCTGGCCCTTGCTAGGGCAGTGAGTTGGCTGGGGCAGGCGATAGGGAAGCAGTGTCTGCTTTGCATACTGGAAGGGGAACTGGCGACATATAGGAAGGCAGATTTGGCTATAGGTTACCATGTGCTGTCTTCACACATCATTTTACTGATTTTGAGTGGTTGTGTGACTGAGATTTGTTCTCACGCACCCTTTAGTTTAGCAACATCGTATGCCCAACCTTGCACCTCTAGCAATCAGTACACTCCACTCCCTAAATACAAAGACTTCTCCTGGATAGCACTTAGAGCTGACAGATGAGGAGAGGGGAAAAGCAGAGGCGTAGTGAGGGTGTTATGCGCCCGGGGGCAAAAGTAAAATTTGCATCTCTCCTGCTGCTGCACAGTGGGGCCCCGAACCTAGCACACAGCTGAGCCCGACCCTGGTTGGGGGGAGCTTGTACTGTGTCTTCCCCCGCCCCCTCCAGTTTGGGGTTGGGCGCCTGCGGGGGCGCGGCGGGGGGGCAGAGAGCCGGGGAGAAGGTGCCAGCCATCAACGGCGGGCAGGGGAGGAGCAGGTGAGCTGAGGGATGACAGGGAGAGCGGAAGGGGACTAAATTGGCACCCCCCCCCAGCATGGCGCCCGGGGGCAACTGCCCCCCCATGTGCCCTTGCTACACCCCTGAGGAAAAGCAATGGTCTGGCATGCTGTGCAAGGCTGGTGCAGTAGCTGTATTCCTTCAGGGGAGATTTGGCTCAGATTAACTGGAATTAAGCCTTCCACCCCCATCCCAAGAGCTGAGAGAAGTGGCCCTGGGCTGGTCTCAGCTGGAAATCACTCTTTCACAGGCCTCATAGCTGAGCGCCAAGGACAATCAAGAGTGGCAATGAGACACTCAGGTCCATTTGGTATTTCTGAGATGCAGGCATGGACTGGGCTCCATGCAGATGTGGAGTCGGCATGACATATGACAGCATCTGACCAGCCTGAAGTGAGTCCTCAGGGTGTAGTTTGGGGTGGGAGTGTTACACCCACTCACGGAAGAGCTTTGTTGCACCAGATGAAGGGTGATGGATTTCTGTTATTTTTATCCGCCTGTACCCAGGAACCTTTGCATAGCCCAGTGTTGATGACTTTCTGGAGCACAGCATGGGCTGATTCTGTCTTTGATGTGTTTTCACTCTTATCAGCATTTATGGATGTCAGGAATTCAGCGTGATGAGTAAATGAAGTCCGGTGGGTTTGTGGGGTGGCTAGAATACCCCCCCCCCATCTACAAACAAGCTCTCTGCCACCCTTTGTGCCCAGCCCCAGAAATATCACTATGTAGAATTTTGAAATATCTATATACCTCTGCCATTTCAGACGAGATTGCACATGAGAATTATCTGTGGGACCTAGAGGCACTCTGGACCAGAAGTACGTTCCGTGCTGTCACTGGCTATGACATGGCTTTCTGAGAGCAAACAGCTTTGATATGATGACCAGCAGCTAATAGCTGCAAGGTAACATTCTATTCCTTAGAACAGGGCTGAGGAACCTTTTTTGGGTTGGGGGCCAGTGACCCACAGAAAAATCAGTTGTGGGGGGGCTGCACACAAATGAGAAGTAAAAGAGAGGGGGGGCTGCACACAAATGAGAAGCAAAAGAGAGAAAAAACCCCTCTCTGATGTGGCCCCTGGCTGAGGAGAAAGACACTCCCCACATTTCCCTCACACACCAAAGCCTTGGGGAGCCCAAGCAAGTAGATTTTGTGTGCTCCAGCCCAGTGAGGGAGTGGTGGAGTTGCTGGCGCACCAGTGTGAGCTCCCTAATGCTGAGGAAGGGGGGAGCCCTCAGACTCAGGGGTTGGATCCAGGCAAGCCAGGGCCTTTGGTTCCCCACCCCTGCTTTAGAGCACTAGTGGAGCCCAAGCCTTTCCATGTTAGACTCAAGTTCAGTTTGCTTCTGGAATTTTGGACTAGACTATTGACCTGGAGATCTAAACAGAAGGAGGGGAAAAGTAGGTGAGTCTTGTGCTTTTGTATCAAGCCAGTGGTGGGCAGGTATGAGGTTATTTAGTGTGGTTCACCCTAAAACTCCTGTGGAACCCACTTAGGAAGGCTCTGCTAACAGAGGATTGTACCCAGACAGCAAAATACAAAATTGCTAAGCGCTGGGTAATGTTGTTGTCAAGGCTCCTTCCCTTCTCTGGCACAATAAATGCAGAAGTGGAGGCCTGCAAAAGTACCGCAAAACCTTATCTACCAGGCTTTGGTGAAACCTTCCCCCCAAAATCTTAGCAACAGATTTTGGGGATAAAAACTCCACTGCCACCACCCAAGTAATGATAAGAAAATCGGGGGAGAGATCACTTAGGAAATCTCATCCCTAAAGTACAAACCAGGACACAATAATTAACCAATACCAGGTTAAGAAAAAGAAAAGAGAAAGAACTTTCATTATTACCACAATATTGGCATAATGACTAGATGGTAAAGTCACAAAGTAATATACTCATGGGGAATTCCACCATGGGCCCAAACTTAGTTGCAAAAGAGAGAAAAACCATAAAACAATAAAACCTAATGGATTTATCTAAACGTTACCCTACTTACAGAAGAGTGAAGAGTCTATTCTTGGAGGGAGACATTCTGTCTGACTCCCTCAGTGGCTGAAGAGAAACTGCCCCAGAGACAAAGGAGGGAAACCCCCAAAATTCCTTTGTCTCAGTTTGAAATTCCTACCTACACTCCTATTGGCCAACTCTACCTGGGTTAGGTATAGTGATAGAAATGTAGCCGTGTTAGTCTGGGGCAGTTGAAGCAAAATGCAGGACAATGTAGCACTTTAAAGACTAACAAGATGGTTTATTAGATGATGAGCTTTCGTGGGCCAGACCCACTTCCTCAGATCAAATAGTGGAAGAAAGTAGTCACAACCATATATACCAAAGGATACAATTAAAAAAATGAACAAATATGAAAAGGACAAATCACATTGCAGAACAGAAGGGGGATGGGGGGGGAGGGGAGGAAGGAAGGTAAGTGTCTGTGAATTGCTGATATTAAAGGTAGGGAGAGTGGGATGTTTGTGAGTTAATGGTATTACAGGTGATAATTGGGGAAACTGTCTTGGTAATGGGTGAGATAGTTAGGTATAGTTAACCTCTTAGTCCCCAGGCTGCTGGCCATCTCTCATGATCATGACAGTTGTTATCATCATTGATATATGAAGTCCTGTAGGGAAGATACACTTCAGAGTGTGAGCTGGCCATTTGTAGTATTATCAGGGGGCCAAAAGAATGTCTGGGCACCTGGGCAAGGTGGGTGGGGGGGAAGAGACAGCTTCATGCTTCCGTTAGGGATGGGGCCTGGTTGGAAGGAATGGGGGCAGCCAGCCCTCAGCGCTGCCTGGACTGCACCGCATCCCCTCAGCCAGCCCTTAGCACTGCCTGCAGCAAGTTGCCTGAGACTCCCATGGCAATTTAAACAGCCCAGGGACTGCTTGCCACAATAGTGGCAGCTGGGAGCTCCAGGCCCTTTTGAATCACCAGGCCCCCAGGCAAATGCCCCTTTGCCCCCACCCCTATCAGCAGGTCTGAGTGTGATTAGTAAGCAACTACACTTCCCCCACCTCCTGTGATAAAGGGTTACCCAGATTGGCCAGGTACATTATAGTATAGGTTTGTTTTTCCTCCGAAATATCAGATATTGGCCACTTCCCAATACACCTTCCAGGACTGGCTCTTTGGTGCAGGCTCATGTGGTGCCATTTCTGTGCATAGCTCTAAGGAACCCAGGATTGTTGTAATGAAAGGGGCCTGCTGTCCCTGCAGTAAAAATGCATTAGCACAAAAGCATGTTGTGTTGCAAATCAGGCACAGCAAGATCTGAGCCCCTTCGAAATGCCTGTTTCTAGCTGAGCCAGATGTACGTGTCCCAGCAAGTACATACATACCTTTCCAGGTGAAGTCTTTTATTCAAGTGATCAGTCAAATGATAGCAAAAGCAGCTCTGTAGAGACCACAACAAAGTCTCTTTATTGCAGTCACATTTAACAGCATAACCAGCCGAGCAGAAGCAACCATGGTGCAGAGAGGGGAGAGAGCAACTTAATAAGCTTGATTGCAGATGCTGACTGATAACATGTCAGAGGGCTTTCCAAAACCACCACAGCCTAACGTTGCTGTAATTTCACAAACCAGCTATATTCCATGTCCCTCAAAACCCGGACCAGAGACCATGCCAGCATCTCAATGCCGTCAGATTAGTTTAGACCTTTTCTATACTGGACTTTATTGCTTAGAGCTTCCCTGTAGCGGCAGCCATGGTGGATGTGCCAGTATAGACAAGATCCAGGCCAAAGCTGGGATTTTTACCATCACTTTACCTAGATCAGCTCTGAGCAGTGTGAGATGGCACAATAAGAAGAGCAATGTGCTGTCCACACTAGCATTATCACCAGCAACCCCTCGCTGAGTTCTGGTATTATATGGAGGAAGACGCAGTGAAAAAACTAATAGAAGGGAAAGGAGGAAATGAACTAGAGAGCAGTCTTGCATGGCAGCGGCCAGAGACCGTTGACAGCTCTGAGTAGTGTATACTGAACCACCAGGTGGCGCCCTATCACAGAATCTGTACTTTTGCTTTGCCAACAACGAGTAGCCCTGAGGCACCTTAGAGAGACTAACAAAAATACGTTTAGTGTCATGAGCTGTCGTGGGCAAAACCCATTTCTTCGGATGAACTGGGTTTTGCCCACAAAAGCTCATGACACTAAACGTATTTTTGTTAGTCTTCAAGGTGCCACAGGACTACTCATTGTTGGTAAAGTTACAGACTAACACGGACACCCCTCTGAAACTTTTTCCTTTGTGTATGTTACTTTTGGAGGTGGAGGTAGCTGTGTAATTCCACTGCCTTCAGAGCCATCCAGTCCATAGGATGGATTGGAACAGCCACTCTAGAATAGGGATGTTAAATATCAGTTAATTGAA